TACGTATACGGTATAGACCGAGCTCATTCAATGATCGTGACTTAATTTTAAAAATTGAATGTCAAATTTTACCAGACGTGGACCGATGTGGATTCGATATCGTTATTTTTGGAATTAATCACTAACATTTCCTCGTTTCTCTGCTCTGTCAAAAGGAGTTACCTAGGCTTTTTTCACGTAACTGTCTCATTAAAATAAAAATAAAAATATTACATCTAGAACAAGCACCCAAAACACGTAACAAGAAGTCCCAGTTCAGTTGCTTTCACGATACAAGTGTAATAGAGCTATTAGATTTGAAGTGTCGTTCAGAATGTAATAATAGTTAATACTAGTTGTATGTTCACACTTTACTATCAAAACCACCATTTCGACCACCCATGTGCCAGTTTTCAGTGTTTGGGCGAGCGGTCAATGTTTTCAATGAGCGAGCGAGCGAGCGAAAAAAAAACGCGATTAAAATGCGGTCGGTTTCCGGTCGGACAAGACCGCGTGGTCGGAAATTAAGCGATAAGCGGTCGATGTAAAAGCGGAAAGTTGGGCGAAATGAGTACTGTCTGACGAAGTCTCGACTGACAATAATGCTGACAATGGACGTTAGATAAACACACATTGTTTGCAACTGGAAGCTTATCACCCGTTATATCAGAATCGTCAACAACAGAGTATACAGATAAGATGTTATCATTTAATTCCTTCCAAAGATAAACACTATGCAAATATCCACGAAACGGCAGTTGTAGTCTTTTCTGCTAGTGTTTTAAAACACTAATTTGAGCAACGTTATTTCGCAATTTCGATCTTTTGTAAACCTGGGGTGATGTATCAAGGTCTAAAGTAACCGTTTTATCAATTTTTGAAAAATCAAGAAAAAAGTGAAAATTTCCCTTCTCGCTACCTTAAGAATGTCATCCCGAAATCCCTGAAAAATGCAATTAGACAGTACAATTTGTAATTTAGCTGATTAAAATCAGATGTCGTTATAGCCTCCAAATTTTTTGTTTTCAAATTTTTCTATTGTTATTTTTGTTTATCTAAGACCATTTTTTGTTTCGTTTTACTTGCTCTCATTTGCTGACCAAAATACAATATATAAAAAATCAAGACAAGTTTTTAAAGGACCAAAATTCAAACCCACCCCCCCCAAAAAAAATTTGGACCCTGTCACTTTTCCCTAGGACAATAAACAAAATTTTTGTTTGGCCCTAGTAACACTCGCTTGCCACACCTCGCATGCATATTAACAAAGATATTGATATTGATATTTTGTTATTATACCAATAAATTTGGGGAACAATTAGAAAGATTCAAAGACAGTATTTAGTGCACTTCGCTGACAGGTCAAAACCTGCTTTCACACTGGGAGACCACATTGAATTATGGGGAATCACCATATGACATTTTGTGTAACACTCACTGCTCACTTTGAGTTCTAAGTGTGTTTAAGATCAAAATATATTTACTTTTAAAAATATGGCATACACAGGTCATTTTAGGGGTGGTGGTCGACATTTGTGTTGATAAACATTGATTTTCCCACAATCCAATGCGCTCCTCTAATGGAAATCACAAGTATGAGGTTTGACCTGGGCTTGACTCGCATAATTACCGCCGGTGATTCCTTTGATACCTTCCAATTACCTGAAAATGTTTAATTAAAACTTGATAATGTCTCAGTTTGTACTCATTGATCTGCGCAACAGTCTAAATCTTTGTTTATATGAGACCCATATTTCTCATGAATGTGTGGTGTGACGACTACTGCCCTCTAAGTAATATTACTTTGTTTATTTCAAACTCCAGAATCTGAAAAGAAATAATAGATTTTGAACTCTGTTACGGTAAAAACATTTATTTTTCACCAACATATAATTTCACTATTTTGAGCATATTCACTGTGTTTTAATATTACGAATTTTTCAAGAAAAAAATAAGATTTATTGTTATTTTACATGTTCACATGGATTTAATTTAGCAGGTTTTACTTATCTGTGAAAATAACGAAATTAAAATACAGTGAATAATTAATGTTTTACAGTATGTCATTCGTTATGGTTGGTACTTGTTACAAATATTTGAAAAGCAGATAACATTCAGTTTGCAAAAAAAAAATATATTTTTGTGTTATGGTCAGTCAATACATCCTGAATTTTCAAGGTAAATGTACAAGGTTCCAGTTAAATTTCTGGATATTTTGTGGAGAGAGAGATATGAACAGTCACAAGTGGACGAAAATTCTAAACAGAACATATGCCATTCTCATTTACATGTTCGTTTGTTTCTTCATTTACACCCACATTTGAATACCATATTTGTCTCTTAGAAGTGCATAAATTTACATAAATTAATAATTGGAATGTGGAATACAATAAATGCAATCTGTTTAATAAGAGAGAAAATATGACACATCAAGTGAACAATATACAAATATCTGGGAGATATTAAAAAATGAGAGAAAATAGAGGAAACATATTTATGGTATCGCGCAAAGATAAAAGAAATCATTATTCACCTACACAGTGACCTCTTTATAATGAACACTTCACTATAACAAACCCAAAGTATTAAGTGCTTCATTATAGTGAACACTATAACAAACTTATTGTATGCCCCCACTCAAAGAGTCAGTAAATACTGTAGAATACTTTATTTTTGCTTGGAATTTATTTTTGCCAATTTCGCTGAAGGGATGATTCTGTGAAAATAAAATTCAGCGAATATACTTTTTTTTCTATATTTCACATTAAACTCATCAAAAATCAGTGGAAATAAATTCTGTACAAAACGGCCGAAAAGCCTTTTCAGCGAAAATTAATTCCAGCAAAAATAAAGTATTCCACAGTAGATCATAATTTAATGTTAGGATATCAGAAGGGGCATGGCTGTCACCATACACTTAAAATGTCTTCTAAAACTGCGAAAAAATAAAAAACAGTAAAAGTGATTTTAACTGAAAGTCCAACAATATAACCATACAATTTAAAAAAATACACGAATGAATTACTTAAAAACAAAAGAGGTTTACAGTTGATGTTAGATACAAGTATTCCTTCCCAAACACAAGTTCAATTTTCTATCCCACAATCCTTTGCAATATGGAGTCAACACATTTCTGCGCAATAACTTTACAAATCATCGTCTACTCCCATAATTCACATGGATGTCTTCATGAGACATGAAAATACACCCCCCACTTATTCAAAAATAACTTGTTTATAGAATTGTTCTGAAATTAGCGATTTCTAAAATAGTATTAGGACAAAATATGTCACTGTAACACACACAAAAATGCTTCATGATTTTACATAATAAACCAGTAAACATTTGTCAAGTGATTTATGACTAACTTTCCCGTAAATTATTAGTACACATCTCCCTTTATTTCTCAATACTTTTAAACAAATTCAATATTTTATTATTATTTTTTTCTCATGGTTATTTAACTGTTTCCAAAGTCTGAACACATTTATAAGAGTTGATTTTCTCATGCAGCTTTAAGTGTTCTGTAAAAGGTCTTTTATTTGTGAATAACTTTCCACACTTCTCGCACCGGAAGGGCTTCTCACCAGTATGTTGGCGAATGTGCTTGCTCAGGGCCATTTTTGTGCGAAAATGTTGATAACAGTAACTGCATCTATGTGGTCTTTCCCCTGTATGAGTAAATTGGTGATATCGGAGAGCATATAAAGTTCGAAAGTCCTTTCCACACACGTTGCATTTACATGGCTTTTCTCCTGTGTGTATCCGCTGATGTACAGTAAGTTGTGACCTCGATATAAAACGTTTGCCACATGCAATGCACTGGTAGGATTTTTTCGCAGAGTGTGTCCGCAGGTGTGCTTTTAAACTTTTCAGTCCTGAATAGACTTTACCACATTGGTGGCATTTGTACTGTCGTTGACTATGTGCTTGTTCTTGGTGAATTTTAAACGATCTGATTTTATGATAAGTTTTGCCGCATTTTTCACACACAAGTGTGACATTGTTTTTCAAGTCAGTTTTACTTGATGAATTGAGATGAGTCGCATGGTGCTCGCCATTTTTCATGGTGAAACTTTCTTTATGCTCAGGGTTTTTATTATCAGCATGTTTTCTCATATGAGCATTTAAATGTGTAGCCCGCACAAATCCTTTTCCACAGCGGTCGCACTGATAGGGCATGATACCAGTGTGAGTCACTAAATGTCTATCAAAAAAGATTTTTAATCTGAAACTGGCGCCACATTCAGCACACTTGTACGGTTTCTCACCAGTGTGTTTTCGCACGTGTTGCTTTAAACCGTGCTTTGTATAGTATTTCTTCTCACAGTGTTCACATTTCAAAGGTTGAACACCAGAATGAACAGCCATATGGGCATTCAGACAATATTTCCGCAAGAATCCTTTTCCACAGACTTCACATTGATGCGGCATGATACCAGTGTGAGTTATAGAGTGTTGAACACCAGAATGAACAGCCATATGGACATTCAGACAATATTTCCTCAAGAATCCTTTTCCACAGACATCACATTGATGCGGTATGATACCAGTGTGAGTTATCAAGTGTCTGTCAAGAGAAATTTTTACTCTAAATGTTGCACAACATTCACTACACTTGTACGGTTTCTCACCAGTGTGTTTTCGCATGTGGTCCTTCAAACCATGCTTTGTATAGTATTTCTTCTCACAGTGTTCACATTTCAAAGGTTGAACATCAGAATGAATAGCCATATGAACATTCAGACAATATTTTCGTGAGAATCCCTTTCCACAGACTTTACATTGAAAAGGCACCCTATCAGAATGACTTGATAAATGTACATTGGGTAAAGTTGATTTAAAACCTGTGTCCCGTTTACCATACTTGTATGATTTCTCATGGGTATGTAATTTTTCTGTATCTTGATGCATGGATGCAATGTGACGTTTCAGATTACAATTGCTCCTACAGGAGTAGTTACAATATTCACATTTGCATTTCTCATTTTTAGCATGTGCTGCCATGTGTCGAGTATAACTGTTTTGTGACGCAAACCGCTTCCCACACTTTACGCATCCCACTGACGTCTCTGTATGTGTCTTCATATGAGTCACAAGGTGGGATTTAGCTTTACATCGATACTCACAGTGATCACACTCATACTGGTATTGGTCTGAATGTATATTTGCATGTATTCTCAAGTTTATCTTCGAAGTAAACGCTTCTGTGCAATACTGACATTTGTATCCTGGTTTTCTTTCGTTGCATTTCTTACTGTGTGTGATTTCATGCTTTTTAAGACTTTTTCTGCTGGAGAATGTCTTTCGACAAATATTGCATCGTAATCTCTTGACAAAATTATATGACTGGGCATTTTTATTTAAAAGAGACGTTTCTAGTTCACTATGTTGATTATTAGAACGTGGTACTGTGCATGTGTGCGAACCAAATGTTTTCTCAGGAAACACATTTTTGCACATGCTACACTGGTTGAAATCATGTTCGGGATGGACTTTATTATGAGTATTTAGCGATTCAACTGAAGTGAAAAGCTTAACTGTAGAGCTGCCATCACTGCTTTTTGAAGAAACTGTCGTTTTGAGATGTTTGAGACATTCAAGTTCATCATTACTAACAAGTATTCTCTGATTTTGATGGGGCTCTCCTGATACAGTATGTGCGCAAGTTTCACTTGTTGATGCATTTTGTTTATTAGAAGTCTCTGCAGAAATTGATACATCTATAGCTTGGTAGTTTTCATCTGAATGTTGGCAGTTTTTATTTAATAATATATCTGCTTTGAGAGTATTACTAAAATTTGCATTTACGGGTTCAGCTGGGTCTTGTTCTACATGTTGGGCAATAGTATGTGTCTGTATATGTGCATTAATTGAGTTCTCAGTAAACACATTATGACACACTTTACAAAAAAATACAAACTCACATTCAGTATGGGTTATCGTATGAGTATTTAGAGTTTCTAATGAAGGAAAACATAAACTGCACTTCAAACACTGCAGACTTAAAGTGTTGACACCACTGCTTTCCAGAGAAGTTGCTTTTTTAAGGCGTAATATGTGTTTTTCAAAATCCTCTGTATTAACAAGTGTTATCTGGTCGCTGAATGCATTTTTCTTACCATCAGTCTCTACAGAAACAGAGGCATCAAACTCATCGCCGAATTGATTACCCCTAAAGCAATCCACATCTGAATTCTGGCAACTCAAGTCTTCTGTTGGCAATACTTCTGTCTTGACAGCCTTACAGAAATTGACACTCGTTTCATTATTTTCTTTATGAGGTACCTCTAATTTATTATCTGGATTATATTCTAAAATTGTTTGTTCACAAGGTTCAATTGTCGATGCAATTTGCTGAACTGAAGTATCTGAAGAAACAGATTCCACAACAAATGAACCTAATTCATTCTTTACCGAGTTATCCAAGCCCACCAACAGTAATTTTGTATCCTGTTCCACAGAATCTGAATTCATATTTGGTTCCCCGCATGTACATTCCTCTTTTGTCTCGACATCATCTCCTGTTACCCCTGGCATAGAGACAGCATGTTCCTTCTTTACATGAACAATGCTTCCACCTGGATTACAACTTATCTCAAGTGTATTTACATCATTGAACATCATTTCAGTTGAATAATGGTCACTCATTTCCATCAATTCTTGTCCATCTTTAAGTTTTGGCTCTTGTTTTATTTTAATTTTGTTGTCTCTGAGATCAAACTCATCATTCGCAGAACATGTGCATTCATCTTTATTCTCTCCAACATTTGACTGCAGGCAAAACAAATCCTTGTTTGTTTGTTTTCTCGTAACAACTCCAACTCCAGTCAAGTCATCATGTCCAGCTTCAGTGGCAGAATAGACATCCGCATTACCATGGTTACCCAAGTCTGTTCCTATAAATAGCTCAGTTTTAATGACTTTGGGTCCGGCCATTTTCTCATGTTCTATGTTATCAACTACAGACAAGTCATCATGTCCAGCTTCAGTGGCAGAATAGGCATCTGTATTACCATGGTTACCAAGGTCTGTTCCTATAAATAGCTCAGTTTTAATGACTTTGGGCCCGGCCATTTTCTCATGTTCTATGTTATCAACTCCTGACAAGTCATCATGCCCAGCTTCAGTGGCAGAATAGGCATCCACATTACCATGGTTACTCAAGTCTGTTCCTATAAATAGCTCAGTTTTAATGACTTTGGGCCCGGCCATTTTCTCATGTTCTATGTTACCAACTCCAGACAAGTCATCATACCCAGCTTCAGTGGCAGAATAGGCATCCACATTACCATGGTTACTCAAGTCTGTTCCTATAAATAGCTCAGTTTTAATGACTTTGGGCCCGGCCATTTTCTCATGTTCTATGTTACCAACACAAAGAGAATATAACCTTTCAGTGTCACTGCCTGGAATGCAGTTAGTCACATCTCTGCCCTTGTTGCTCACTTCTTATGTCACCAATAGCAAGAATATTATCCATTCTCACCCAAGATCAACCTGTAATTGAAAAATAAACATTTTCAGAATTAACAACAATTACAATGCTATATGCTATATCCTTAATGAAATCTGACATTTCAGTTTTGGTAATTGCTGTGTTAAAGCTACAATTAAACTGCACATACAATACAATAACTGATAATACAGATTTTAAATAAACTACAACTAAAATTATAGCACAACAATACATTAATTAATTATCACCTTTTCTTTTCTTATTTTGTAGGCTTTCTGTATGTAATTTAATAAACTGAGTAGACATTGTTTGTTAGTTGTGTTTAAAATGTGTATAAAATTATCTTTGTTGTTGTAATTTTTGAAATCTGGATTGGAGAATAGACTATATTCTTGTCTATTTTATGTATGGAGATCACACTCAGTGATGAAATGGATTTCATCCTCAATCATGTTACATTTGTCACATTTCCTGTCCTGAACTTTTGACTTTGGTTTTGTGTGTCTACCCACTTCTATGTACAGTACCGGTAATTTTGATGGCAGCTTACTGTAAAATGACTAATTTTCACTGGGTTTAAATTTCGCTGATTTACCATTTCAGGCATATTCAGCGGGTTTTAAATTCATGGTTTTATCATTTAAATAATGCGTTCTATGCTAAATTTTACATATTCACTGGGTTTTAATTTAGCGCATTTTCCAGTCAGTGAAATAAGCAAAATTACCCCCTTTACAGTATTTTAAATTTGCTCATTGTTTGAACCACTTGCCTATTGCCAATTGGACTGGTCGGAATATAAAAGTGCCTGTCTTAAATGATTATGTACCTGTCTCTATCAGGATAAATGGAGACCGGTCACTGTTAGCATAGTGGTTGTCACATCAGACTCATGATCGGTAGACCCAAGTTCAAATCCTACCTTAGGCTGAACATCAAAGGGTCAACCCCTACCCTGGGTGAGTGTGCCACAGACTCAATGGGAAGGCCAATTCCACTGGCCGAGTTTCATTCACTAACGAATGCGACTTTGGGGGAACCTTGGTTAAGGTGCTTGTGTTCGACCAGGCCTGGTTGACGCAAGGATAGCGCATTACAATTGCCATTTGATAGGGAGTTGGCCACACAGCCCTGTCATGTACCTGGTAGTCCCAAACAGGAAATGACTCCTGTGGGAAAATGCACAATGTGTCAGCAATAGCACTTGCAATTTGCACTTACAAAAAAAAAAAAGTCAGGAGAGACAACAGTGACATTAAATGTCCGGAACTGTCGCCTGGCTCAAAAACATATTAAAAAAAAAAAAAAAAAAAAAAAAGATAAATGGAGACATATCTTTTGAAATAAAACGTTGGAGATTCATCATTTCATAAGCCTTTAAACAATTGTTGGCAATTTTCTGGGCATTAGCAATTTTGGAAAACCTGATTTGGTAAATTAGTGAAAACTTGATATTTACCTGTCCAGAGGGACAAGTACTGTGGAATACTTTATTTTCGCTGGAATTAATTTTCATTGAAAAGGCTTTTTGGCGTTGTGTATGGAATTTATTTTCACTGATTTTTTTATGAGTTTAATGTGAAATATAGGAAAAAAAGTATATTCGCTGGATTTTATTTTCACGGAATCATCCCTTCAGCGAAAATAAATTTCATGTGAAAATAAAGTATTCTACAGTAGTTTGTACATTTACCTCACACAGCTGAAATATGCCTGTATGATTTAGGTGGAGAGGCCTAAATTTCGACCTCTGTGTAATTATTATACTGTAAAATAACTATTTTTCACTGGGTTTAAATTTCACAGATTTACCATTTCTGGCATATTCAGTGGGTTTTAAGTTCACGGTTTTATCATTTAGATAATGTGTTCTATGCTAAATTTTACATATTCACTGGGTTTTAATTTAGCGCATTTTCCAGTCAGCGAAATAAGCCAAATTAAAACCCAGTGAATAATTAACCATTTTACAGTATGCCTAGCTCTGTAACCTATTTGATGTTGAGCACTATAATATCATTAATTTTAATCTACAGAAAATATTATCAAGATTTCGACTAAGTGATCAATTCACACTCTAGAAATAGAATTAGGTCGCCGAAAAAATCCAAAAATCCAACTTGAGGATAGAAAGTGTAAGAAATGTAATAATGATGTGATAGAGGATGAGATGCATTTCATTCTGGAATGTGCATGTTTTAAAATTGAAAGACAATCTTTATTTCCAGAGTGTAACATCACTAAAAAAATTGCAGGCAAGCAAAATGCAGATGTTTTTCTTAAAATAATGAAGCATGACCTTGCCCTCTCCAAATTTTTGAAAAAATACATTATTCAATGGAAATACTTAATTATATAAAAACACATCTAACCCATGAGAGAACCAATGTCTTTTCTATGCAATGGGCCATTCCAGTTAATATCTGCACCCCCCCTGTTGATGAGGTCGGATTTCCAGCACTGTATGATGGGGAAAATACCCCGGAATTCCAACTGTATATGGAGAAACAGAATCTGGAAATCCAGACGAGTATGGAAAAAAAAAATTCTGGATGATGAAC